ACACACACACACACACACACACACACACACACACACACACACACACATTACCTTTTACCCCGTCCTGGACAAGATCTGACAGATAAACAGAATATTTTCAGTCTAACACGTCACAAAAAGTAGCTTCCTTGAAAACTTCCTGATTTAATCTCCAAGTATGTTTTATTTATCAAAATAACTTCATAAAAGTGACAGCCTGATACTTAACAGGACCCCTTTTAAGAACTTTTTATCACTTGAAACGTTTGTTGTGGGGAAAAAAAAGGAGGTTTGAAAACAGACCAAAGTGTAGTTCATCAGATTTATTTACAAAGCTTTGGAGAACAGAAAGGTGGACAGCTTAAGATCTTGTTGCAAGGAACGCTGCAGGTAATGATGTCCTGAGAGCGCATGCTGTAACTGCACTGACGACGTGACATGTGGGAGGAGATATAAGAAGGTAGAAGACCAAGGAGTGATATATAGATGAAGATGAACCAATGCGAGCCTATGTGTAGATAATGATGACCAGCTGGTCAGGAAGTAAAGGGTGCAGTGATGGGTATGGTAATATCAGTTATGAATCTTAGCGCACCATGATAGACAGCATCTAACATCTGCAAGGAGCTGGAAGGGGCATTCATGTAAATGTCACCATAATCAATAGCTGGTAGAAAAGTAACAGCTACAAGACATTTGCTGACACTCAGAGTTAAGCAAGATCTATTTTCTGAAAAAGAAACCCAGTTTTAATTTCAGCTTCTTTATCAAGTTTTTGATGTGTGGTTTCAAAGAGAGATATGCGTCAAACTAAAATTCCCAAGTATTTGTAAGCATCTACAAACTCAATAAAAACATGATGCATGGATGAGATAGGAGGAAGAACTGCTGGCACCGACTTTCTGTTAGAAAACAACATCCCTTTAGTTTAGTCAGCACTTAGCACCAGTTTGAGATGGAACAAGTCTGACTGAATGATGTCAAATGCAGAGTGTAGAAAATGGAAAACCTTGGCAACTGTGTTAGCTCGGCAGTAAACAATTGTGTTGTCAGCAAAGGGATGCAAGGATGTGTCAGGAATGTAATGATCTGCATTATTTATATAATTGTAAAAGGAGTGGGTCTTAAAACTGAGCCTTGTGGCACACCATTAGTGACCATTAGGTAGCTAGATGAAATACCATTATGTCAAACACGTTGCCTCCGACTTGAGAGATAGTTAGAAAACCAACCAACAGTTTGATCTGAGAAGCTAATATCTGACAGCTTATGGCATGTCATGATCTACAGTATAAAAACCTTTGGACTGTTGCACTTTGCTTCTTCTAAGTAAAGTGCAGCACAGTAACTCTTAGCATCTAGTGCGTCAACATCATAAAAACAAATCCTTTTGCAAAGCAGTCATTGTGCTGTGTTGTTTCCTGAAGCCAGATAGATGGGAACATAAAATGTTAAAGAGTCCAAACACGTCTTGACTTTAGTATTTACCAGTTTTTTTTCTATAACCTTAGCTAAAATACAGCGTTTGGAAATCGGTTGGTAGTTTTTCAGTGTATTGGGGTCTCCTCCCTTCAGTAAGTATTATGTTGCATAGACACTAAAAATGTTTGACATCGGTTCTGCTATAATTTGCGCAACTAGACTTAATAAGGGGGCAGCACGGTGGCACAACTGGTAGAGCTGCTGCCTCTCAGCGAGCAGGTCCCCGGTTCAAATCCCGGCTCGGGGTGCCTTCTGGGTGGAGTTTGCATGTTCTCTCTGTGCATGCGTGAGTTTTCTCCAGGTACTCCGGTTTCCTCCCACAGACCAAAAACATGCATGTTAGACTGATTGGTAACTCTAAATTGTCCCTAGGTGTGAGTGAGAGAGTGAATGGTTGTTTGTCTCGTTTGTCTCTATGTGTCCCTGTGATGGACGTGTGACCCATCCAGGGTGTACCCCGCCCCTCGCACAGTGATTGCTGGACATGGGCACCGGCGACCCCCGTGACCCAAAAGGGAAGAAGCAGGTAAAAGATAATGGATGGATGGACTTAATAAGGAGGGAGGTCATTAGGGCCTGCAGATTTTCTAGTATCCAGACTTTTTAGCAGATTAGTAACATCACTGAGAGACAACGATGAAATGAGAAGGTAAGATTTATTGAGCTTTGAATTTTAGGAGAAATTAGACAAGTAAGTGATTTACCATTAAAAACTTTATCAAACAAGAAACTGAAGGTAACAAAATCCTCCCTGCTCAAGCTGTTGCCCCCGCGACCTGACTTCGGAACAAACTCAAAATAATAGATGGATGGATGGAAATCATCAATTCATATTTAATAATCCCCTATTCTTCCATCCACCACAGCCAAACAATGTTACGAAATACAGAAATGACTCACTCAGTTGTAAAGATACTGAGCTGAAAATCGGTGTGGTAGTAGCCGAGAGTCATCTTTAACACAAACCCTGAGCACTAGCAACTTATACAAGAACTTTACTTAAAATTTGGAATGATAGATTATGAATTCTCTCTAGAAATGTTATTTTTAAATTTAGACAATTTATCAACAGAAAGCTTTATAAGCTAAAGACCAGAGGCCCTCGTGTACACTGCTTGTAGCTCATAAACATTGAAGACCAAAGGCAGTTCAGAAAAAAACATATTTTAATTGTTTATTAGAAGCAGTTGTTCAAATACAAAGCAAATACAAACAGTAGGAAAAAGATTTTTTTTTTTAATTTTTGTTATTAATATTTCCCCATTGCAAGTTCCACATTCACTCTCCCGTGTTTTCCTTTTCTCATTTCCTAAGTCTGGTGTGTGAGTGTTAAATTATGTAGTAAAAAGAAGAAATACATTATGGTACATCATTTACAAACAACCAAAAAAAAAAAAAAAATTCAAGACGTGTATTTACAATTCATACTCTAAAAAATGTACGGTTGGAATAAGTCGAGAGAACATTACCATGCCTTCCCTCAGACGTTGATTTGAGCTCCTGTCTCCATTGAATCATCAATAACTCAATAAAATCAATAACTTTCAATCAATAACTTGTTACTTTGGGAGTTTGAGACAGTATCAGGCAAAGACTGGTTTCAGGTTTCACGCCAACATATTCCTGCATAGTAATGCTTCACGTTCTGTTTTCCAGCTTTTGAAAAGTACTTTTAGACAAATCAGATTAACTAGAAACAATTTTACAACTTTTAGTTTTTGAGGAGTTCGACTGTTGGACACTGATAAATGAAACTGTTGTACAATTATACAAAAACAATAATAAGCATGGCAGTGTTTTAGAGTCACTCATAAAAATAAAAAATAAACTATTTTGAATTTTTTTTTTGGTTTCCAGTTTTTAAAGTTAATTTGCATGTTGCAGTAAAACATCAAAATTAGTACTTTAAGAAAAAAAAAACAATCAAAAAGGCTGAAATAAATGAGGTATTTTGAGTTTAAATAAAAAAAAAAAAACCCTCACTGCAATAAATAAATAAATAAAGTTAAAAGATAAACCCAAGTGTTAGTTGGTAATTTTTCCAGTGCATACCCCTAAGTTACAATTAATAAAGTAAAAATAAAAACAGAACAAATACTGTCAGCCTAACAAACAAAGGAGTTTGATTCGATGTTTAAATGTTTTTACCGCAGCAGAAAAGTTTTGTATCTTGAAACTCAAACAAAAGGAAGAAAATCTTCCTGATCAATATTTTTCTTCTAACGCACATAGCATGAGCACGTGCGAAGTTATCAGGGGCCTTCCATCTATCGTGATTAAAAATTAAAAACAATAATGAAAACGACCTGTTTTCAACTTTCTAAGACACTTGTAACTGATCTTTAATAAATACAGTAATTGATCACTAGTTATTGCAGTGGCTTCATATTTACATTTAAATGTAAAAAAAAAAAAGGATAAAATTCAGAACCTCATTTCAGGAATGAACTTCCTGAGAAGCAACGTTGGAAATATAAAGAAATGAAAGAAAACTAACAACTTTGTAGTTGATAAATTGATGGCAGAGAAATTAAGTATTTTACAAGAATAAATAAATTAAGAAAAATGTCAAACTTCAGTCAAACCATATTCGGATGAAAAGAGCATCTGCAAAAGTTTGGGACGTGAAGCTTATCAGGATATACTAATGTTAAAAACACAAACAAAATAAATATATTTACATCAACTGAAGTCATATCGCATACAAGAGGTGATCAAAAATCATACATTGTTGAGATCTGTTTGCGGAAAAAACAAAAGTATACATTTTACATTCCTAGCTGAAGACTGTACACCATCTTGTGTTGAGAGGCAGTTTCATATGGCAGGTTTATGTCGCGCTGCACTAATATAGTGCAAATATGCCTGAAAACCAGAGAGGCAGGACGGCAGCACAACAACTCAGGCTCACTTTGCCTTTCTCGCTCTGTTCTCTTTGCGAGTTGCGTCGAGGCCGAAGCAACAAAGGAACGTCTGAACGTTCTCCGACACACCAAGAGCGACAATAGATGGAGAGACATGTAACAAAGCTGTTTGAAAACTCAACTGAAATGAGAAATGTTTGTGCTTTTACAGGAGAAAAAAAGAGTCTTTTTTCTCTCCATCAAGCCGCTTGTGTGCCACCAGAAGATAAGCAGCAAAGGCAGACTTCCAAAGGCAGGAAGAGAATTTGTGAAGGCTCTTGTAAAACAGTATAAATAATCAAATTTAAAACAGAAAAAAAATAAAATAAAATCAAGGCTGCTACTGAACACAGATGCAGTACTGATATTTTACTGACAGAAAACTGTTTGCTGACCAATGTCCTGCTCTGACCCCGACACGAGGAGGTTTACCCTGTGTCCCAAACAGAGGACACCCTGAACAGAAAGTCAGGAAGAAGAAACAATCGACATATCAGCGTCTCCATCAGAGGACATTCTGTACAGTAAGTCAGGAAGAAGAGACACGTCTACATGTCGGCGTCTCCGTCGTACGCCAGAGTCAGAGGTTTCAGTCTGTTGTTCATCTGTCGTCTCTGCGGCTTCTTTGGCTTCTTGCTGCAGAATGAACAAATGGCATGAATGAAAAACAATATTTATTCAATCATCTGCTTCTTGTTGTAACTAATCCACTAAAAAAAAACAGTAACACTTTACAATAAGGTACACAACATTTGATTCACTGCTAGCGAATGCCTCAGGAATGAATCAGGAACAAATCAGGAGCTAATGGGTAGCTAACCAGTACTTACTGGGGAACACACAGCCAAGCCTTGTTAGGGGGCTACTGGTTAGTTACCACAGGAACAAACCAGTAGGTAATAGTCAGGTCATTCCAGGTCTCTCATCAAGTACTTGGTATGATGCTTCACTACATCAGTGAACAAACTAATAGCCAGGCAATGGTTTGGTATCAGTAAGTGATAGTCAGACATAGTTAAGATGACACCAGTACAAGATCATGAAATTGCTAATCTGTGGTAAGAATCCAATAAAACCAGTAATCACTAGGAACAGGTTTTTGACAATTACGAGCTGTGACCTCACTGGTGCAGGGTTTATTCAGAACCCACATGGAGTTTCTCCTCTATTTATGTGGTAACAAACCAGTAGTCCCCTAATAAGACTTGGTTGTGTGTTTCTTAGTAAGTACTGGTTAACTACCCATTAGCTCCTGATTTGTTCCTCTTTGGTTCCCTTGGTAACAACCCATTAGTTCTTGATTAGTTCCTCTTCATTTACAAGGTAACTAAGCAGTAGTCCCCTAATAAGGCTTGGCTGTGTGTTCCCAGTAAGTACTAGTTAACTACACATTAGCTCCTGATTTGTTCCTTAGGCGTTTCCTAGTAGTTAATCAAATTTCGTGTACCTTATTTTTTAAGTGTTACCAAAAAAAAAAAAAAAAATCTAAGAAATGTGCTGCTAATTTGAGATATAATTTTTCTTCTCATATTCATGACGTTTGTATTCAGATTTCTACATATGTGAACATTTAATTGAGGCTCACTGGTACTAACCTGTATAAATAAAGGGTGGATGTATATGAACATTGGCCTTTACCTTAAAACTATATGTTTAAAACCAAGTTATTTTGTAACAAGTTTATAGCATCCCAGTAACGGCCCAAGAGTTTAACATTTTATTCATGTTTAAATTATCATTTATTAAAAGGATAGTCTGGACAATTTTGAAGCAATGTTCTGTCAATTAGGTATTATTAGTACCTTAGGTAGTACCTGTAGTACTATCAGGTATTAATAGTACATCATCAAATATGACCTCAGTCATAGAACACAGTGTGGAGAAAAGGGCTAAGGTCTTCCTCCAGGCCAGACTAGCCCAACAAGTTTGTTTTATATATTTTCTAAGCTCATAAAACAACTCTTTATCAAAACTGACACCAGCGTGAAAAGATGCTACATGAGCTAATACCAAACACGGTATATGCTACGACACCAGGGGGTTATTTTATAAGAGACTAAGAAACATTATAAAACTGGCCCTCATTTGGCTGTCCTGATTGAACCTGGAAGAAAACATCGGTTCTTTTGTCCCCACTCTCCTCTTCATGCTCTGACTGACATTATGATGCAGAACTAAAACAATTTGACAGGACCAAGGTCTGGGAATAATCACTTAATCATACTTTTGTTTTCCACACAGTTGGAATAGTGTGCTCTGATCGTCGCGGAGGGATTTGATTAGTGACTATAGTTTTTGGAGATGAGTGTTTTTCTGGACTAGAACTGAAAAGGGAATGAAGTAAACCTTAATGTTTTTGGTGCAAGATATTCAAGTGGGGAGGAGTTACACTGTGGAGAAGAATAAAGGTAGGCTTTTTGTTTTGTTTCTTGTGCATGGCAGCGATGACTGATGGACCCTGGCGAGTGGAGGGAACAGTTTTATTCATGACCGGTTGCCATGGTGGATGGCCTGTGGTGGCCTCGGCCATCATAGATTCACCTTCGGCTGCCCAAATCATTTGAGGAAGCTGTACTTTTAAACAATATGAAAACTAGACGGCATAGTTTCCTGAAATGATTGAGGTGGTCAGTTTACAAATATATATATGGTGGTGGCCATCTTGGATTTTGATGTGGCAACCCAGTTTTCAAAATTAACTTTCTTATACTTAGATATATCCACACACCAAAATGTACATCCAAACCTGACATGCATGTCAAGTTATCATGCTCACAACATGCACGGACAGACGGACTGACAGATTGACAGACAGAGGGCATTTCCCCTTTTCGCTCCACAACGGGGGATAAAAACTTTCAGGTGTGAAAGACCACTGCTGATATTAAACCTCTAAACCTTTGCATGACACTTTGATGGATTGTCCAAACAACGTTTGAGTTACGTATCAAATATTGATCATCTGAAGCTGCTGATCAGCTCAGTTGATCAGTCTAAAGTTTACTCCACTCCCAGTGACTGATGCATTCAGCAGAGTCAGCAGACCAGCAGGCCCATATTAACACGAACATTGATTGAGGAAACAACGATACACATGGGGTCATGCAAACGCATAGACATTTCATATAAGCTAATGTAATATTATTTTACACTGGAAGGACATTTTTGGGTACAAACTGTTTTATGAGCGCAACAAACTGGATATAAAACAGGCTGTTGTTTGACCAATCATTAGCCTGGCCTGGTCTAAACGTTGCCCTGTGTGTGTTTTTCCACACTCTGTACACTCTGACTGACGTCACAAGTGATAAGCTGCAAGCTATTGATATCTATTAGACAGAGCATCACTTCCAAAATGGCCAGAGTATCTCTTTAATGTATTGTTTTTTTTTTCATTTGGCTGCTCTTTTTAGGAGGAGCCACAGCAGATCATATGTAATCCCATCGTCCTCCTGTATATCCTCCTCCACTACATCCATGAACCTCCTTTGTCGTCCTATTTTCATTGCACTGTTCAGTCCTCATCCATATATAACAATTTAAAATGTCAAAACTGTTACATGTTATAGAAATGATTTAGACAAGGGCCACTGAAATGTGCTAATGTGTGGTAACACTTACTAACAGAAAATATAGGATCTTTCAATTTAAAAAATAAAGATCTTAAACATACTTTTTCAACCAGTTAAAAATACGAATCAGTGTATTTTTCCAGATCATAACTCAGGCCCTCAAAGAAAATGAGTATGAAACAAGATGAAATGTGACAGACTGACCACTAGATGGAGGTCTAATGACAAAAAACAAAAATGTCTCCACAAACCATCAGCATGGACTGAGAGAGCACGCTTTGCTGCAGTTCATTGATCAGTTCTGCTGTTTAAACCCTTTTTGTTCTCATCATATAAACGTGTGTTATAATAAATCCAAAGGTTTAGACAGCAGACTGCAGTTTGTATTCAGAGTGTGATGCTGCTCTGCTCACCTGCAGGATGTAATCCACTGGCATGACTGAACAGGTAGGCACATCCTGTCTGTTTGTCGAGGGGGGGATATGTAACGTGGAGGAGGCCCTAACTAAGAGATGAGCGTTTCAAAGGGGGGCGGGGGCAGCTCCAGCTGTGAATCATCTTGTGATGATGGAGGGAACAGGCTCTTGTTGTGCCGTTTCAACTCATCTTGTTCTAGTTTCTGGCAGGCGGGGCAGGTGTAAGGCACCGTGTGGATGCTCGGGTCGATCCAGTAAGCCCCGTCTGACGGGGAACTGGGCCTAGACTTGTGGTCATGGCAACAAGCACAAAAACTGCCCAGAGTGTGGGAGTGGAGACACACAAGGACAAATATGAAGAAGACAAACAAACAAACAAACAAACAGACAGATGATAAAGAAAAAATGAAATGAATGAGCAACAATGGGCAGTGATGTGATGGAGTTTACTTTATTTCTCTTCACTTCATAAAAGTCTCCTAACAATAAGATTTAAAATATTTAGTTTTTCATTTTGTGTCATTTGTATATATTTATTTTTACAAATATCCCTGACTAATATCAGTACTATTTGTCATTACAAAAATAAACCAACCAAGGAAGTTTTGCCTTCATTGTGCAGTTTTGCAGGACAGTGAAACCTGTGACGACTGACACCATTTTAAGAGAAAAATCATCGCAAACATTTTTTAACATGTTTAAAAGTTAAGACTGTTAGCCTCTTCAGTGTATGTTAGGAACGTGACTCACCAAATGTTTGAGTCCTTTACAAATGCTGTATGCCATCTATACATGGCTAAACTTTAAAACATTTTGGTTAACTTCAGTCCTTTTTAAATGTGTGATCTCATCTCTTTAGTAAAACAATATTTTTTAAATGTTTTCATTCATGATTAAAACGAGACTCAAATCCATTTTTTTATTTTTATTTTTTGCAGCTGTTTCTCGCAGGGCTGCAGGGAGCTGATGTCTATCTGCTGTCACTGTTCTTGGGGTGGTGCACCCTGGGCAGGTCACCAGTCCAACACAAAGTGTAGAGACATATAATGAACAGACAACAATTCACTCTCTCACTCAGAGACTATTTAGAGTTACTCATTAATGTAAAAGGCGTGTTGATGTCTGTGAGAGGAAACCAGAGAAAACTCCCAAGTTCATGATGACCCGAGATAAAATGCACTGAAAAGTCCCAGGCTGCAAGTCTTTATTTGTTTATTTATTTGTTCATTTATTTATTTACTTGTTTGTTTATTTTTGAATAATTTATATATATATATTTTGTTTGTTTGTTTAATTGTTTATGTAATTATGTATTCATAAAATTGTTTATTTATTATGTAAAGCCTTATGGCGTTAATTTTTATATACATTTCTTGTTCAATGAGGCAACAGCTTTAACCACTGTTTCACCATGTTGCCCTTTAATCCTATGGATTATATGAAAAGCAAAGACGGCCTCCAACAGTTCGTTGATGAACATCACTGATCTGCTTCTTAAAATGAACTCCATCACATCACTGAATGCTGAACAAAAACATGAAAAATCATAAAAACATGAAGGTTGAAAGTTGTTTTAGAGTTTGTTACATTACCAAGCTAAATATGTCATCGAGACGATGAAGATGAGGAGAACAAACACTCCAGCTGCGACGCCGTACACCCAGGTCTTCAGTGTTCCATCTGCACACAGACACACACAAAGAGACACACACAAAGAGACGCACACAAAGAGACACACACGTTATTTGACCTGCGGGGTTGTAATTAACAATCACCACGGCACTGATTTTATTTTTGTTCTAAAATAAAAACCACTTTTTTTTTTAAACTCATTAGGAAGATTTTCTGTTTTTTTTTAATTTATTTATTGTTTTTCCTTGACTTGTTTATTTCGATGAACGGTTCTCAACTGGTCGGGCTTCATCACCGCTCCATGAAACGCCTTAAGACGAATGAAGAACGTTTTCAACTTCTCAGATTTATTGACTGAAAAGAGTTAGACCCTGAGATGATAAAATAGAAAAACTCTGGATGCACTTATAGAAAAAAATAAACGAAGAACCAAAACAAACAGCAAGTGGCAAAACTAGAGAGGAAAATATTAATTTTTATACTCAATTACCTGCATTTGAACTCAAACTAAAACCTTTTCTCAGCAACTTCAGCCTTTCTTAAAAACAGACTCTGCTGTTCAAAATGTCCTGAATCATGCTCAATAATCCAGGTAGAAAAATCTGACAAAGTCAGAGTTAACTTTGTTAGACTCTGCAGTTCCTTCACTCACTGACATGAACTAAAGTCCAGATAAAGATTCATTACGTAGCTTTAGCCATTGAATTTATAACAAGGTTCTCTAACGTATATCTGTTAAATCTGTGACGGAAACATTTGAAGACTAATATAACAATCAGAATGTGGATTTTTTTTTCTGCGACGTCCATGAGCTGAAAAAGAATAGAAACAGGTTTGAGACTCCCTTGAGGGTTGCTGGTTGAGAATCCCTGTTTTTAGTGTTAGTAATGTGTTTGAATGAAGTTTAGTTAACCGCTGATAGATTCAAGCCTCACAAAGTGACTTACCTGGACCAAAAGGCTGCAGGAACCATGTCCGCCCAGCCCGGCCCGGTGCGCTGGCTGCAGGCTGGATCGGGTTAAAGGCTCGAATGGTCTTGACATCAGCTCTGTTGTCACCTGCCGTTGGGATCTCCAGCACTGGGATGACTGTGCATTGATCCAGCAGGCCGTCAGATGTCATGACCTCAGTGTAGCCCTCCTCACAGCCGCACACCCCCGCCTGAAGTTCACAGGAAGTTTTATTCATTATGTTCAGCATCTCAATCAGCTCCTTTTGTCTTTTTATACTAAATATTAAAACAATTTAAGCTCTAAGGAGCGTATTTCAACCCACCCTTGGTGACTTTGAAATTTACATTTTAAGTCATGGACTTCCTAATCATCTGTCATCAGAATACAAAATCTGTTTAATTTATTTTAATTAAGAAGTGCAGACAAAAACATTTATGGATTCAGAGGCACTTTGGTGACTGCTGGCTGTTCTCCAAAGCTTTGTAATGCATCTGATGAAGTCTACACCAGGCTGTTCAGTCCTTTTACAAGTGGTGTGAGAGTTTGGTTCACGTTGCCAGTAGTAAGTTGGACCCCTTCAAGGTGGGAAATGGACTCCGTTAGGGTTTCCTGTTGTCACCGATTCTGTTCATAACTTTTATGGACAGAATTTCTCGGTGCAGCCAGGGGGTGGAGGGAGTCCGGTTCGGTGGCCTCAGGATTCCGTCTCTGCTCTTTGCAGATGATGTGGTCCTGCTGGCGTCATCATGTTGGGATCTTCAGCTCTCACTGGAGCAGTTCGCAGCCGAATGTGAAGCGGCTGGGATGAGAATCAACACCTACAAATCTGAGGCCATGGTCCACATTCGGAAAAAGGTGGATTGCTCTCTTCTAGTCGAGGGTGAAGTTCTGCCTCAAGTGGAGGAGTTCAAGTATCTCTGGGTTTTGTCCATGAGGGAGGGAAGAATGTAGCGTGAGGTTGACAGACAAACTGGTGCAGTGTCTGCAGTATTGAGGATTCTGTGCCAGTCCGTTGTGGTGAAGCGGGAGCTGAGCTACATAGAAGGCAAAGCTCTGTTTATCGGTCAATCTATGTTCCTACCCTCACCTATGGTCATGAGCTCTGCGTAGTGACCAAAAGAATGAGATCATGGATACAGACGGTTGAAATGAGTTTTCTCCGCAGAGTAGCTGGACTCTCCCTTAGAGATAGGGTGAGAAGTTCAATTATTCGGGAGAGACTCAGAGTAGAACCGCTGCTCCTCCACATCAAGAGGAGCCAGTTGAGGTGGTTCAGGTATCTGGTAAGGATGCTTTCTGGATGCCTCCCTAGGGAGGTTCTTAGGGCATGTCCAATTGGGAGAAGACCCCAGGAAAGACCCAGAACATGCTGAAGAGACTATGTCTTTCGGTTGGCCTGGGAACGCCTCGGAATCCTCCCAGAAGAGCTGGAAGAGGTGGCAGTGGAAAGAGATGTCTGGGCATCTCTGCTCAAGCTGCTGCGCCCAAGACCTGACCCTTGGAACAAGTGGAAAATTATGGATGGATGGATGGAGTCTACACCTGATCATTTTGGGAATCTCTTTTTTCCTCGACATTGTCAATTATTGTTCTGGAGTATTTATTTAAATTCAATAATCTGCACAAGTTCCTGCCCTTTCATAATAAAAGACCTGAATACAGGCATGGTGTTAGTTGCTCGCAATCTACCTCCCAGAAAAAAAATCCTTTGTTTTATTGACTATAAGGTCCAGAAAACTGTCATTAAACCCGACAAAGAGTTAGTTTATGAGCCTGGGACAACAGGAGTAGTAGGGCCTACTGTTGTCTTTCAGACCAGCAACTAGGGCCATGTCATCAGTATACTTAATGAGGGAGAAGTCTTTGTTGTTATGACACAACTCATTTTCAAGAAGATAGAAGTGGAGATTACACACAACCCTGTGGAACACCGATGTTCAGAACTCTGCAGTAAGATAGTGTGTTATTGACAAGACTTGTTGGGGTCTTTCCCCCAGAGATAATGTGGAAAACAATGTGATCTGAGATACATGAGCAGCAGAATCAAGGCAGTAAAGACCCATCTGATGTGAGGTTCAAAGTACTCTCCACATCAAAAAGTGCTGGAACTGAGAGTTACCAGGTACAAATACACACAATAAAAAACAGTACTACAAAACAGGACCACAATACCTGATATCTGACACCAACAGTTAACCAACACAATATCTTTGAAGATTGATATCTTGTTTTTCAGCCAATGCAGAGAGAACATCATCCGTTGTGTAATCCACAGATGAATACTGGCTTACATGTGCAATGTTCTGGAGATAAATTAAGCTTAAATGTAAGAGCACACAGTGACATATTTTGTCTTATTTGTACTAGAAGAGTAGTGCTAAACTGGTTCTAATTTTGTAAACTAATTGAATGACTCACCTCTGTGCACAGAGACAATGGTTTGGTACAGGGTGGGTCACAGGATCGGTCAGCCAATGGTTTTGTTACTGCCAGGCATCCACCTGTGGAGCAAAAAGGTCAAAGGTTAAACTTTAAATCCTCTTCTAGGAAACACAGGTGAAATTAAGTGCCCGTGGTTTACATATTTTCACATAACTGACTAAAAACCATTCCAATGATAAGAATAAAAAAATGCTACAAATTCAATTCAATTCAAAAGTGATCTCTAGTAGATCAACTCATAAACACAAAGGCTGCTGCCAAGGTGCAAAGTGAGCTAAGCAGGGATGGTGTGGACAGAAATGAGCATGGAAAAGATGTGCATGGCCAAGAACACAGTTTTGTAAGACATGCTCACAAAATAATTGTGATATTCAAAGAATATCCTGATGCATGCTCAAAGACTTGCCAAGCAAAACATGACACAGGGCTCACTTGTCACTTGGTTACAAAATTTAAGTATTTTCTTGCAATAATAAATCAAATGCAAGTCAACTACTGGTTCCCAATGGTCACTGTCCATTAGGATACAACCTTAAGATCACTTAAACTTTTAAAAAAAATTTTTTTTGTCTTTTAAAATTCTTGGCCCACATTGCAATTCTATCACACTAAAACAAGCTCCAAGACGTTTTAACTCCAGTTTAGAAAAATATACAGAAAAAAGAAAATGAAGATGAAGTAACACAATCCTTCTCTTTCATCTCATTCATTCAAGTTTGTATTAAAGGATGAATTTATCATTCCTACACATATTCAGACAATAAAAATTGTTAAATAGTCAACTGTGCATCCCTGGGGCCCTAATAGATAAGGTGCTACAGACCAACAGACACTCAGCAAAAAATATGCATGGAAAAGCATGGTAATCAGAATTGTTGCATATTTAATAGGTGTCATGCTCAAGATCAGAGCTGGAATGAATATTCAGGATGTTAATGCTTATGAGGAGAAAATCGTTACGTGCCGGTTGTAGCAGCCCCGGGCACGTGCATGATCTGGAGTAAAGGTGTGATGCTGAACACCATATTAAAGCTTCACAAAGCTCTTTGCAGTCAGGTTCTCATTCATACAAACACCAGTAGAGCACTTTTTGTATTCAAGGAAATGCAGCATTTTCTTTCACCAGAGCCATAAATAGTATGAACATTAGTGCCAATAAGGGATTAAGCTCCGGGACTAAGAAACTAGAGACACTGGAGAATTGTAAGTGTGTGTTATTTATGGAGTCATCAATAAAAATGAACAGCAAGAGTCAAACAGCTGCAGCAATGCAGGGTTATCTGATTTCATCTATAGGAGACAATATTCTGAAAGGTTCTATGGCAGCATATGATAAATAATTCAGCATTTAACAGAGCAGGATTAAACAAGATGAACAGACAAGAGTTTGAGATGTGATTCTCACCTGTGACATTCAGCCCATCTGAACGCTGACACCAGACATGGCGGGACGAGCCTCTCCACGGTCCAGTCCTCCACTTGTACTCAAAACACTGGCCACCTTCAGACGCATGGTTTCAGTGCAGTTAGTTTCAGTACATCTAGATTGTTTGTCTATCAATCTAACTTTCTGGATACACTGAAAGACAGTCCATGTTTGGCAAAAATCAAACGGTGTTCCTCCAGGATCACGGTGCAACACAGAACATAAAGTGCAAATCTATACAACACACAGTGCAGATGCACAACAGAACAATAAATACAAACAGACCTATAATAAATGCAAAAAGACATCTAACCTAATAATAACATTTCAATCTAAACAAAAAAATTAAAATTCAAGACTAGAGGCACATGTTGATTAGTACATGTGCAGTACATGAGGTAGAAACATGTTCTGATATGAGGTTAGCAGCATAAAAGTCTTCTATTTTTATAGCAGCAGAGATATAAACTAAATAAGGCACAAACACCTCCAGCACCACTGGAGCTCCCCAGGGCTGTGTGCTCAGTCCACTGCTGTTTATTCTTCTTACTCATTGGTCTGAAATCAGAACAGGCTAATATTCACCTTAATCAGCTAAAATAGGTGACAGGCCAAACAAGTCCTAGAATTCCTAAAAAAAAAAAAAAAAAAAAAAAACTTCCAGTCTTTAAATGATCAGTAATGAGAAATTCTGATTTTATTTTATTTTTATCATTAATTTTTGCCTGTGACTGCACCATCAGCACAGCACAGAGATGTCACAGCATCCATGGTGTGGAAGTTTTTTACTGCAGTTTAAGAAAACCAAAATATAGAAATTTGCAATACAGTATGTGTAAAGAATTAATAAGTCAGTGAGGGGCCACAACCTAAACATTTGGGACAAAAACTTAATCTGACATTTAACATCCCACATTATACCCCACATTAAAAACATTACTAGAAACGCTTTCTTCCATCTGCGTAATATCGTTAAAATTAGAAACATCTTATCTAAAAATTATGCAGAAAAACTGGTTCATGCATTTGTCACGTCTAGACTGGACTATTACAATGGTTAGTTATCTGGATGTCCAAATACTTCTTTAAAACGTCTTCATTTAATCCAAAATGCTGCTGCCAGAGTCTTAACTGGAGTTAGTAACAGAGATCATATCTCTCCAGTTTTAGCTTCCCTCCATTGGTTCACGGTCATATCCAGAATTGAATTCAAAATATTGCTTCTAACCTACAAAGTTTCAACAACCTAGCTCCATCTTATATTTGTGATCTTGTTGTTCCATATTTTTCTAACAGAGCACTTGGCTCTCAGACTGCAGGTTATCTCGCAGTCCCTAGAGTTTCCAAAAGCAGAATGGGAGAAAGATCTTTCAGTTATCAGGCTCCTCTCTTTTGGAACCAACTTCCAGTTTCTGTCCATGAGGCTGACACATTGTCCAGTTTTAAGACTGGACTTAAGACTTTCCTTTTTGATAAATCCTATAGTTAGGGTCAGCTTGTTAGGTTGCCTTAAGCTTAGACTACTGGAGGCCAAATCGATCTCACTTCCTTAAATGAATTGTTAAAACTGAACAGTTTTCATTTGATACTATTTATATCTTAACATGTGATTCTTGACCTGCCATTGTGTATCTGTTCCTAACAAACCCAGCCAGTCGAAGCAGATGGCCGCTTGTCCTGAGTCTGGTTCTGTTAAAGGTTTCTTCCTCATGAGGGAGTTTTTCCTTTCCACTGTCGCCTTCATGCTCAAGATGAGAGTTCTTTCTCATATAGCTCTTCAACACTATTTAAACTTTTGTTGAGTTTTTAAACATCAGTAATTCAGTTTGTTCTTAGATGTGTTCAGTTCAGTCCTGTCAGAGTTAAACTCTATTTTTATAAACTCATAAAAGAGCTGCCTACAACATTAACATAATACCTATTTCTAACTTTTGTAACACACAAACTCACTTCAACACAGGCTAAAGAATTTCTTCAAATATTAGACGTAATAAATGTTTGGATTTACTCTGCGGCAGCACGGTGGCGCAACTGGTAGAGCTGCTGCCTCTCAGCGAACAGGTCCCTGGTTCAAACCCCGGTCCAGGGGCCTTCTGGGTGGAGTTTGCATGTTCTCTCCGTGCATGCGTGGGTTTTCTCCGGGTACTCCGGTTTCCTCCCACAGACCAAAAACATGCATGTTAGGCTGATTGGTAACTCTAAATTGTCCCTAGGTGTGAGTGAGAGAGTGAATGGTTGTTTGTCTCTATGTGGCCCTGTGATGGACTTGCGACCCGTCCAGGGTGTACCCCGCTCCTCGCACAGTGATTGCTGGACATGGGCACCAGCAACCCCCGTGACCCAAAATGGAATAAACGGGTAAAGATAATGGATGGATGGATGGATGGATTTACTCTGCACCACTGTTTCAAACACACCTGTGCACGGCTTTGCCTCCAGCTCTTGTTCCGGACACTCAAGCAGGTTTTCTGGATCCTGGGCCACCACTGCTCTGGAACGGACTTGGACTGAGCCAAAACCCTGGTCTTTCCCATTCACACAGCTCAACTGGCATGGACTCCATACAGTCCAGTCTGTCAAGTAGCACTCTCCTGTAATACATAAGAAAAGGTCACAGCCTTGGATTGTTAGATGAGTTGGATTTTTATTTTCAACACACACAGATAATTAAACACAATAACCTGTTTGTGATAAAGTGCTTTGACCTTTGCTGTTGCAGTGCAAATCCATAAAAACAGTGTCTTACTCTTTTAACGTTGACTGTCAAATGGATGCTGAAAAAAATTACATATGTATGGATATATTTTAGACTAAATCTCTCTTTCTTTCTCTCTGAACTTACCTCAGGGAGCCGAAGACTCCATCCAACCCAATAATAATCTAATACCAGAACACAACTTATTTAAGACTTACTGAGTGAAAATTAATTAGATGATTACATAGAAATCAATAAATTCTTTATTCCTTCTTATTCCTAAATCAGTCAGAGCATGGATGGTATTTGTGATAGGCCCACAGTGTGAGGATCTGTGCTCCCTAGGTTGTGTCTCCCTCTTGTGTTCGTTCCTTCTCCTCAGTGTTTTCTTTGTCATGTTATTAGCGCCTGTCTCCTCCACCTGTTTCCTTTCCCAGGTGTGTATCCCCTTGTTAACATCCCTATTTAAGTCTGCGTCTCTGTGTTCCTCATTGTCTTGGCATTTCCCTGTCTACCTCCATATTCCGTCTTCCCTCCAGGTCCCCAATGTCAAGTAAATTTGCTGCCACGTCAGCCTTTTGTTTTTGTTAATAAATTATTTCTTATTATAATTCTCTGAGTCTCCATGGTCTGCCTGTATTTGGGTTCGACATCAAACCACCGGAACATGACACACAGTGTTTTGGAATGTGCACAGGCCATTTGTAGGGAGGTGGTGGTTCATCTCTGTAGTGGCAATGTATCGGTATCCTGAGCGGATCATGATGGGGTGTCTTTATGCCATGGGGCCCACATGAACCAGAATGGCTTGGTTGTCAAAAAATTTAAATATAACGGACCACAACAGCCTCATTAGTCTAGGTTACAATCACATTGTGTCCACACAGTACTAGCAGTACTACTGTAGTGTGTAGTATCCTACTTGGATTAAAGTCTGCTAACGCAGAGAGTCATCCAAAAACAGCTGTGCTTTTCACATACGTAGAACGCACCTTTGAACCCAAAGAAAGCAAATGGTTTTTGGAGGATAACAAAGATACATCTGCCAATGATATCGGTAGAAGATGCTGTAGATACTGATCTGTTTTCCACCCAATTGTAAATTTTCTTTGAACCACTTCAAATGTAACCCGAGGTTGACCCCCTTCCTTTCAGGATCACCCACAGACTGACAGCCCCTCCATCATACAGGAGTTGAGACTCTATGCTCTCACCCTTCATGAACTCAGGGATTAACATATAGGGGTGCTTTTTTGGATTCTGATGCAGTTTGGGGCATCACAGTGGCTCAGTTGGTAGAGCTGTTGCCTCTCAGTGAGCAGGTCACCGGTTCAAATCCCAGCTGGGTACCATTCTGGGTGGAGTTTGCATGTTCTCTCTGGGCTGCGTGGGTTTTCTCCGGGTACTCCGGTTTCCTCCCACAGACAAAAACATGCATTTTAGACTGATTGGTAACTCTGAATTGTCCCTAGGAGAGAGTGAATGGTTGTTTGTCTTGTCTCATTTTCAAACAGAACTTACTGTTAGTAAGTTTTAGAGAAGGGTGGGATTAAAGTTGTATTTCTTCTCACTACTTTTTCAAATAAGTTTCGTTTTGTTAATTTTTTGTTACAGAACTTTTTTTGTTCTTATATATGTCTGAAACTAAATTAGGACTATTTCTGAACACCTTTCACCATCCGTTTTTGCCATAACTTGTCATATTCCTATCTGTCAATAAATGTCACATAAACAGTGCCAAACTTATATCAAGTGTGTATTTTAATGCAATTATCAGATTACTAAGAAGAAAGTAACTCCTTATTTAGGATAATTTATTGAGACTGATAATCATATAAACCATAGATTTATAGTTTTCCTTCTTTCGAAGGTGGTTTTATCATTTATGATTCATTAATGATTCATAACTTATCCATTCTATATTGTGTACCCATACACAACAAATAAGTAATTGCAGCTCTCTTGTGATGCTACTATAATAACCAATCTATGCTTTAAAGCCTCAACAGTGTCTCGCCACATTCAGCTGTCCTTCATTTGTTTGTTGGGTGCAAAGAATGAAGCAGTTGTTCTCATCATGGTTCAGCTTGCTGGACAAGGAGGAACGAGGGATGATTGTGGTGGAGGTTCTGCACAAAACAACCCTTCACCTCCATTCTCTCATGTCTGAATAATGCTTGCTTCTTCATAAGAGGACTGAAAACATCAATGTGCTTAGAGCTGGGCATTCAGGGATTCAGCTCCAAATTTGATGACACAAGGAATCGAACATTACAGATCAATTCAAAATATGGATTATACGATTAAAACAATATTTCAGTTTTAAGGTTCCTTTATATTTTATATAAATGTGTTTATGTCACAGTATGCAGAGTGAATACAAGAGTCTCTCTGATATCGGTAGTCACAGCCCGTTAGCTTATGTCTGTTGAAAACATTAAAGTTCCTTTCCTAAGCTGTAGATTTGTGGGCGATGCTGGAGGAGGTCCAGAGGAAGTTCCCCATGTTGCTGCAGCTTCAGACAGCTGCTTCCTAATCAGATTGGTGGCAGAGGTTTCTGTATTCATTCAGTCTGATTAAACCGTTCTGCAATACTTTTTGTTTCATCTTCCAGATTGTGACTATAGGTCATGAAAACTGCCTAACACAGACCAGTCATAGTATTTATCCTGATCTACTAAATATTTATTCATCACCACTAAATGAAAGCTTCCTAACAGTGTTTGATTGACTTACCTGGACAGGGAACAGTACAGGGTTCCTGCAGAATCATTTGTCTATCTCCATCCACTGAAAGCTCCAGATCTCCACACAGCTCATCATCAACAACACTTCTGTCCTGCTCGCTTGAACCGTCTGACACAAAGCAGGAGACATTTCTGAAGCGAATGCCTTCTCCACACTTTGCCCCCTGATGGGAAAAATATAACATTTTAATAAAAGTGATAGAGGGTGCATTATCTAATACAATTTTTGTTTTAATTCTGATAAATTTGTTTGTATTCCTGGCTGGACACCACACAAGTCAGATTGGGTGGAGGTTCTGTCCTTGCAATGGACCAGCCTCTGTCCTGTTGAGTTTAAAATGTACCCAGATATTGTGTTTGGAGAAAGTCCTACTGAGCTTTTCAGATACTCCAGCAACATAAAGGGTGATGATGCTTGCTCTTCTCCCTGTTCTGTTCTGCAGTGGGTTTTGGATTGGTTTGCTGATTTGGCAAAGGCTCAGATGGGATACCCACAGGTCTGGAGAGCTTTTTTATATATGTTTCTGTTCCTTTTCCTTCCCTTCTGTCTTTGTGGAGATGTGTTCGGCCCAATGGTGTAGAGTTCTGATGACAGAGAGTTTGTGTTCCTGTGGGTGGTGAGAGTCCAACAGAAGGATAATAATCCTGCAGCATGGGCTTGTTGTTTAGTCCAATAGAAGGTTCTGATCTGTGTGAGCAGGTTTCCTGTAAACGTCAATTGGCTTGAGGTTTCCATCTCTTCCCATGCCTACCAAACAGTCCAGGAAAGGTAGTTTGTTGTCGTTAACATCCTCTTTGGTAAACAATGTTGTTTCCTTGAAAGAGTCCAGGGCTGTCTGTTCCACTTCCTCCATGTACAGATTGGCCACATTCGGTGACACTGGAGATCCCACAGCACAACCATGCTTCTCGCTGAAGAAGTTGTCATTGAATTTGAAACAAGTTGTAGAAACGTAAAGGTCCAGCAGGGTACAGATCTGGTTTGGGGTGAAACTGGTCCTGTTGCTGAGGTCATAATCTTGTTGAAGATGTTTCCTGATGGTTTTGACTGTCTCTGCTGTAGGTTTACACATGAAAAGTGAAGTGACATCAAAAGATACAAGAGTTCTCCTGGCACTAGCTTTTTGTTTTTCTTGGGTTTTTTTTTCTTGTTTTTTCTTGATTCAAGAAAAAATAATGCAGCTTTAGACCTGATTCCAGTTCGGCTCCATGCCAATTTACACCTTCATGCAGGTGACCTAAACTTCTCTGTGAACCAGACAGACAAAGAGCCTGACTAGCCTCCAGGATGTGGGGTGAGTAGTTCCACTTTAATCTCTGTGTTCATCCAGGCACATAACCAGGCCTCATACAGTTCTATAAGGCTTGGAACTCCACACACTCCAGGAATTTTTAAATTAATAAAGCCTCCTGATGGGAAGTGAAACGTCTTCAGCTTCAGAATAGAAATCCAGTTGTTTTTGTTTTTAAGCTTTTTTTTACTTGGTCATGACCTGAGACTTCATCGGCATCGTGTCAGATAGTTCTCAACAGTTAGTTCCTTATCGGCTGTGACATCAGTCATGAAACACAGACTATGGAGAAAATGGCCAGACGTCACTAAAGATTAGCCAAACAAGTCCAGATTTGATTATTTTTCATGCCTTTTGGGCCTGATTAAACTACATTCAGCAGTCTCGGCATCATCAGTGTGTATCTATGCTCCTCACACATACAGTACATTAATGCAGAAAGATGGACACTGTTCAGTTAAAAATGACAAACAAAATAGGTTGTGTCAGGCAAATGTGGGGAGGTTTATTATTAGGTAATGTAGCTTTATTTCACACTCATATGGCCTTTTGAAGAAACAGTTTTATAAGCCAGAAAAACAGTTTAAAATACTGGCTCTCATTAGGCTAAGACAGCTGTTTCTTTTTCCATACTCTGTGTTTTATGACTGATGTCATGGCTGATCAGGAAATGATTGTACTGATATCTGTTTGACACATCATCACCTTCAGGTTGACGGGACTATCCCTTGAATTCATATAACAGATGGGGATTAAAATTATAAACACACAGATTCTTTGTTCCAGGTGTTATTCTGGGTGTTGTTCCTTGCTGCAGTATTCCTATAAAGATTAGACTCTGACTCAAAAAGAAACAAATTATTTTGGTTCAAAGTATAGACGAGATACTTCCATTTTTTATTTTATTGTTTTTTAGTTTTTTGTTTACACAGTCATGGTGTCAGTAATACTCATTGAACCTGATACAAACATTAAAACAACAACCTCATCACTTTGATTGTTCCATGGGGAAGAACCACAGGTTTAAAGAAAAATAATGTTTTCTATGAGGTTGTTGTTAGGAATGTAGTGAACTTAATCTGGTGTCACGACTAAGCCTAAGGTCAAAACCCTTGACCTTAAGAACCTTGTGGGACAGAAACTGTCATTTCATTGATTTGAATCCAGAGATACAGGTTCACCCATCCTGAGACTCTCTTTCTTGATAATCAAGTGAAAGAACACTCTCTTTTTATTATCATTACTATTTTACAAATGTTGATAATCAAAGTGTCTTAGTTCAAACCATTTTAGATGTTGCAGTGAACTAATCAATTTTATTAACTGTGTAATGATTTTTAATTCTCATGCAAAGTTAGAATTCATGTTGAGGTCTGTTACAGATTTTTATGCATTTTCTGACTTCTGCCTTTGAATGAGCAAGTGTACGTTTCCAGGGTCAGGAGTGAAGCAGACATGCGTTGGAACAACTGTCCTGTTTATATCCTCTCAGACATCAACAGGGGGTTTTGGCACCTGTTTCTTAAACTCGCCAAAACAAAACTCTCTCTGTCTGTGAGAACATTTCTGATCTTTCCATAACAATTCTTGCTGCATTCTAACCTTTTACGTCACAAAACACACCCCGTCTGGTCGGTTCTGGCCAATGGGAGACTCCCGTATGAACCGGGAAAAGGGCTCTTTAAATTGTCGGTACTTCAGTTCTACACAGTTCTGCTCAGTTCTGCTCAGTTCTGTTGGAGTTCTGTTGGAGTTCTGTTGGATACACAGTTCTGTGAGAGTTCTGTGCGGAGAAGCCCAGTTCTGGGAGCCGGGAAGATCCGGACATGACAACAGAGCTCTTCCGAGTTTCATGGGATTATAACATTTTTCACTGAGGTGAGCTGTGGGAAAACAGAGTCTCGCCATTACTCAGGACGAGTAACAGCATCCTACGGAGACGCTGAAGGGTGCGTTAAACGGAATCTCGCCTGAGACATCTCCAGGTAAAAGAGTCGATGTCACGACCTAAGTGTACTGGAAGGAAAAGCTGAAGAAAGCCCGGAGAGTGCCGTTCTGTTAACACTCTCCCTCAAACCCCATCTTTTACTCTTCTTTAAACTTCTTTCCCATCTTTAAACTCCTCTCTCAAGTAGAAATTCTTCCAGATATTTAGAAATGTCTGTGTAAAGTGCTCATCCACATCCGTGTGGGTAAAAGATCATAGTTGTACAGTTTTCATAAATGTCTGTGGTGAAGCAACGGAAAAATCATGGCCGTATGATTTTTCCTGATTGATTGCTTATGTTGTTATTTTCATAATTTGCCAAATTAATGTAAATGTTTGATGTTAAACTTTGATTCTGTAAATAAATGACCGCATTCATTTTGATGGGTCAAATATAAATGACGTCTCACGTTGCATTTCATTAAATTCAATGCACGTTTTATTCAGTTCAGAAAAATGAGGAATCCGTGTTAATTGATGAATATATCTGAGCATCTGTTCATCTACAGGAAGGGACATTACACAAAATGTGCTTTGTTACTTTGTGTTTGGACACAATAAGTTCCTTTTTTTTTATATGCCAGTATCCATGGAATATTAAAGATTATTTTCCATATAAACATTTTTGAACAGTTTTAAATAAATGTAGCTGATAAATAAAACATTAGACAATAAGATGGAGAGTATCTAACCTCTGACTTGCACTCAGACCAGGCACTGTATCTCCAGCTGTAACAGGGCTTCACCAGACAGGGCTTCCACTGTTTCATCTGCGATGGACATGGCCTCCCATCACCTTGAGGAGACTGGATCACTGCTCGTGTTCTCCACAGTTTACCTGAAGAGAGCAAGTGAAACAATAATTAAACGTATTGGATGAAATATGAAATGTGAATGGGTGGCACAGTTGGTAGAGCTGTAGCCTCAGTTAGAAGGTTGTCGGATCAAATCCCAGCCGGGGGTCTTCCTGGGTGGAATTTGCATGTTCATGTTGTTTCCTCCCACAGACCAAAAACATGCATGTTAAGCTGATTGGTAACTCTAAATTGTCCCAATGTGTGAGTGAGAGAGTGAATGGTGGTTTGTTTCATTTGTCTCTATGTGGCCCTGTGATGGACTGGAGACCTGTCCAGGGTGTGCCCAGTCTTAACCATAGTGACTGCTGGATATGGGCACCAGTGACCCCCCGTGACATGAAAAGGAAGAAGCAGGTAAAAATAATGGATGGATGGATGGATGGACGGATGGATGGATGGATGGATGGATGGATGGACAATGATGATGAATGGATGAATGGATGTTGGATGATGAATGAATGAATGGATGATAGATAGATGAATGAATGAATGGATGGATGGATGGATGGATGGATGGATGGATGGATGGATGGATGGATGGATGGATGGAATGTGAACTTTGTTAAAAGAAAGCAAGTCAACAAAACATCTGGAGGACTACAGATGTGGAAAAACTGTTGATTCCACTGAAGTTAAAGTCGATTCTGAGCTTATAACAATAATTGTTATTTTGAATTGGGATTCTGTGAAATCTTTTATTATAATACCTTCTGCTTATAGCTAAATGAAGAACTTAAGACGTAAAAATAACAAGTAAATATTCTAATTTAACAAGTAATAATACCTTAATAATAACAAGTAACTATTCTAATCTAACACGTAATAATAACTTAATAATAACCTTAATTTGTAGAAATTTCAGTGCATGCAGAGCAAAGGTAGGAACAAAGTCGATCACTGACGTCTTTTAACAACTTATTAATTATTTCATAGTGGTGTATGCAAGAAAACACTTCTTTAAGAATCTTTGCACTGCTGCTAATGTCATATTTCAGAAATATAAATATATTGTTCAATTATTAGTTGGGTATATGACAGCAGCAATAACCAAGGCTTGGCTGGAGCCATGGCACAATGCCATGATCATCAATGCTTTGTTCATAAAAAAAGATTTGGGGGGGGGGGGGGGGGGTTGTACCTCATGACAGAATACTGAACCTTGTTTTTGTTTCCAGGTTTATTCCTTATTTTAAAATAATGTAAGCTTTTTACCGCACATGTCTCTCATACAGACACATCCTTCTGGGGATGTCTTCTCAAGAAGTCTGCAGATAAAGGAATGGAGAAGTGTGGGGGAACCTTCTTTGTGGCATTCCCACAGTCTTTTTGTTAAAAGCATAAAATGCACATTCTTGCCTGGGGACAGATTAGGATTGCTGAATAAAGCCTGTATTGGTTTCCTATCTCTTATTTGCTCTTGTTGCATCTGGTTGCTCATGGTTCAGTGCTAAGTGCTCCCTGAGCTCCCATGCACGCTCTCATGATGGACCACTAATCAATGACCAGATCTGCTGGTATTAATTCAAGGTCAGAATGCTCCCACACTCAGGTTTAGGACTTGAACACAATTTTCACATGATAAAGATTTCTGGTCTCTGCTTATCTTAAAAGGTTAGCATGCTATTTACTGGTCATCCTGAGGATTGTGTTCATCTCTGGACCATCAGAACGGTGTGCACCAACAGAATATTAATCTGAAGAAACAATTCAGGCTGGAAATCTATCTATCTATTCCCACAACTAACAGTTGCCCCAGGTAATTATGAGAAATAAGAGTTAAAATTCTGTGTTTATCATGTTTGCAACACTATGAAGCAAATAAAATAAAAGTTTATAGAAGTGGCCAATGAAACCAGTTCATATTTCTGCTAACACCGGAACCCTTCCAGGCCGTTCCACCACATCACATGAGCAATGAATTCCTAAGGAATAAAAAACACTATTTGGCAGGACATGGAAAATCAAAGCTCCAATCTGCAACAACTCTGCCTAAAAAATGTTGCAGCAACTTACCTGCCAGGCCACAAGTGTGAGTGCACGCAGACCACGTGGACCATTCTGACAGCTGGCAGTTGACAGGACATTCCACGACACAGGAAGCATTCATCTGCCACTTCCTCTCGAGACCCAGCTGCAGAGGGACATGACTGAGTTTCAATAACTCCTCTAAAATGATTGATGATGACATTGATTGACAACGTTGACACTAAGTGGACCCATTTTATGCTCCACCAAAAGTAAAAGTAACATTACAGGTTGTACAGACTCTGTTTTTTGATGTAGGACCCCAACACCTAAAATTGACCCCTGTTCAGGCATCTGTTGTATTATTATTATTATTATTATTATTATTATTATTATTATTATTATTATTATTATCACTATTATTACATTGTTGTAACCTTTAGAGTAATACTTAACGACCAAACAAATTTTATTGTTCCATATTTTCCTAACAGAGCACTTCACTCTAAAACTGCAGGCTTACTTGCGGTTCCTAGAGTTTCCAAAAGCAGAATGGGAGGAAGATCTTTCAGTTCTCAGGCTCCTCTCTTGTGGAACCAACTTCCAGATTATTTCCGTGAGACTTTTGATAAATCCTATAGTTAGGGTTGGCTTGTTATGCTGGCTTAGACTACTGGGGGACAAACTGACCTCATCTCCTTAAATGAATTGTTAAAATTAAATAGATTCATTAGATATTATTTTTATCTTAACATGTGATTCTCGATCTGTCATTGTGTATCTGTTCCTCCTTCCTGTTCCTCTCAAACCCAACCAGTCAAAGCAGATGGTCGCTTGTCCTGAGTCTGGTTCTGATAAAGGTTTCTTCCTCATGAGGGAGTTTTTCCTTTCCACTGTCGCCTTCATGCTTGCTCAAGATTAGAGTTCTGTGATGGAGTTAAATTGAAAACAGTCTGCTCTTCAAATAGATAGTGTTAAATTATTATTTTATATATGAATGTTTCTGTTCAGTGCCCTGAGAAGACTTCTGTTGTGACTGAGTGTTATATAAATAAACTGAATTGAACTGAATTGAATTGAAATACCAGACGTTATGAGATGACAATAACTCACTGGTACTGGGGAGGTGTTTACTGTTCATTACAGACTGTTCTGAAATATTACGAGCCCATTTGGACAGTTTCCTGCTCGACCATGCAAATACAATGAACATTTATTTCATGTAAATAAAACCCAGTCTGTACAACTCGCATTACTTTGAGTTTTTGTTTTTCTTTCGGCTGCTCCTGCGTTCAGGAGTTACCACAGTAAGCTCACTCGTATGCAAATTTGGCAGTTGTCCTTATGCAGATGCCTTCAACAATTTCCTGCGGGATCAGTAAAGTTCTACCTTATCATATCTGTCACAACCACAGAGGACAGAGCTACTAAGGTGCTCTACTCCACCCAGATCCAAGGCACACAGGGAGCAGCTGGGGGGGGGGGGGGG